AAATTCTCATGTGCAGTTTCAAAACTCTCATGGATTAAGAAACTCCTTAGAAAAAAAAAGACGAAATCAGAGAGGGAGACAAACAAACCATAAGAGAATAAGAGACTCTTAATTCTAGGGAACAAACTGAGGGTTGCTGGAGGGGCGGTGGGTAGGGGGTGGGATAACTGGGTGATGGGCATGGAGGAGGGCACGTGATGTGATGAGCACTGGGTGTTATATGCAACTGACGAATCACTAAATTCTACGTCCATACACCATATATTAAATTGAATTTAAATAAAAAACTTTAAAAATTCTAAATAATGCATATTCATTAAAGAGTGTAAAATGATGCTGAAAGAAGAAAAAAGGAACTCAACTGCTTTACCCATTGGTTTTATTGTAGGGGTTCTAAAGCAGCTTAAAAAATTGATAGATTTTTAAGAAAGAAGCTATTAGAATGTCACTGGTCTGGATCTCATTTTTATTTCCAATAGTAGGGTCATTAATTATTTTCCACTCTCTCTCTTATTTTCTGTATATTCCAAAGAAGTTCAGTAAGCATCAGGGTTCTGAGTACACCGTCAGGTACAGGTTTATGTACATACACTCTTCTCTAGATCTATCTTATGGGATCTACTGTATAATCTAAAAAATTATGTATCGTTCTTCATTGCTTAAGCTCTAAAGAATAAAATGCAAACCCTTTGATCTGGCATTAAAAAACACTCAATTGGCAATATCTGGTCCCAGCCATCCATTCTAGATTCACTATCCTCCATTCCAAATACTCTATAGTTAAAGAGCTTGTTTTGAATCTGCTCACACTAGTTTAAGACTCAGCTAGAGGGCCAGCTCCCTGAGGCTGGGCCTTGGACACTCCTAGTCCTGCAGCACCTATTGGTCATTTTAGCTAGGCTGGCCAAGTACCTCTTACCTTGACACAATCTAGACAAGAGTGAGGATTCAAAATTCTAATGGGAGTGGTTCCAATTCCAGGTAAGATAGAATGAGCACACTCCACCCTGTGTCTCCCGCTGAATGCATCTATAAAACATAACACATAGATCAGCTATTTGAGGACTTGAAAAAGAAATAGTAGCAGGCAAATTATGGAAGAAGACCAGAATTCAAAGTACCACTGAACCAGTGTAAGTTTATATTCTGGATTTTTATCCTGGACATTGTGGATGGTATTTTGTATATACTCTGAATCCTGTTTTAATCCTTACAAAAAAAAAAAAAAACAACCAAAACATTTTAGTAGGCAATTAACTTTTTTAGACTTGTGTTACAGGCTTTGTCTCATTTTTTTGTGGGTGGCCATCAAATCTCAGCTCATTTCTTTAAGCCTCTGAGTTTGTCTTGTGCATGTGGGGTCAGGAGCTAGCTCAAGGCTTTCCATTCAGAAGGAGAAACATCCTTTTTATGGCTCTCTCCCTTCCAGGATTCCCCCTCACTTTCCAGGTATGGCTGCTACATGCTTTTTACCTCTGGTTCTTCCAGCCAGAAAAATGATGGCAGGATTTCTGTTACAGTTTTAGCTGCTCATGCACTTTGTGACTGTGACCCACTCTCTGGGTCAAGACACACACACACACACACACACACACACTCACACGCAGACACTCACCCATGTGCTAACTGCTTCTTTGGATTTTGACTTCCCTCCACAACGGTCTGCATTTACTTACTCTTCAGAATCCTCACACAGTTGTTTATATTTTGCTCAAAATCTCTATCAGGATAGAAATCTTCTATCATAACTTTTTGTTTGAAACATAAAAATGTATTGCCTGTGTAAAAAATTACAATATAATTTAAATCAATATCTGGCAATAGTCAGCTTCTTAAACTGGGCAGTTTTGACATGAATGTGTTTTATAATTACTTTGTATGTTTTATATCCTTTTTTGTCTGCATAATACACTTGACAATTTTCTAAAAATGAGGTCCTTTGGTCCTTCATAACCAAAACTTAAGATCCTCACTTAACATTCACCCTGTGGAGGGGTGCCTGAGTGGGTCATTTGGTTAAGTGTCTGACACTCAATATCGGCTCAGGTCATGATCTCAGGGTCATGAGATTGAGAGTCGCACTGGGCTCTGGGCTGAGTGTGGAGTTGGCTTGAGATCCGGCCCCCGGGCCCCGGCCCTCTTGCATGTGCCTGCTCTAGATCTCTCTTTTTTTTTTTTTAAAGATTTTATTTATTTATTCATGAGAGACAGAGGGAGAGAGGGGGAGAGAGAGAGAAGCAGAGGGAGAAGCAGGCTCCCAAGGAGCACGGAGCCCGATGTGGGACTCGATCCCAGGACCCCGGGATCATGACCTGAGCCGAAGGCAGACGCTTAACCATCTGAGCCACCCAGGCGCCCTAGATCTCTCTTAAAAAATTTTTTTTACCCTGTAGATAATACTGTTATGAAAATAGCATATTTGTAGTATTTCAATAATATCTGAATGGCTAAAATTTAATAAAAAGATAATCCCATCAACTGTAAAAGTGAGTACATTCTAAGAACATAAAGTCTCACATGGGCAAGGATAATTTAGTTTCAAAGCCGGTTCAAGCAGGCAAACAATCCCCTACACTATTTCATAGTAGCAGAGCCCATACCTTTGAACAGAGATCTTCATTCAAATCATAACTCTACCTCTTACTAATGCGTGACCTTGGGTAAGTTACCTCAGCTTTCCAAGCGTGCTTCCTTACTGTAAAATGGACAAAATATAGTACCTACCTCTCAGGATACTGGGTGAAGTAAGCAATGAATGAAGAGCATTCAGCACACAGTGCTAAGTACCTATAAAATGTTCAATGAAAGTTAGCTGTTATTAGTAATTACTACTAATTTTCTTCTGAATCCCACAGGATTTCCACGACTTATTTATTCAATTACTAATCTTCACTTGATGTACTTCCACAAAAACAATTTGAGTTCATGTTCCTTCACTGCCAGGAAATGAACAACTTTCTACAGTTTAAAATTCAACATAATACTAAAAAGACAAGTTTTAGTTGAATGCACCCTCTAGTGGTATATATTATGTGCAAGTACCTGGCTTCTACAAAAGAAAACCTCTTTATGAAATGTCCCTAGGTTAGTGCTTAGAACCTGAAGCCAACTGGTTGAGAACACAGTATGAAGTGGATAGTCATACAACGTTTAGGAAGCTCCCTCTCTTCAAGAGCTGGAGGAATTTATCTTTTACAACTTCCCCCACCATAAGACCGAAGATATTTGTGATATTCACCATACCAAATCCCATTATTCCTACAGCATTGACTTTAATCTTTCCTCCTAAAGAAAATCAGGTCACTTCCTAGTTTGCTTTAACAAGCATTGCAACGTACTTATTTAAGTTAACAAAAACATACTGAGTACCAACTATATATAAGAGGCAACAGGAATACAATAAACAACTTATTACATAATTCATTATTTGGGTGGCAGGGGAGGGGAATAGGAAAGCTTACGAATAAAATGTGAAAAGCCTTTAAGGATAAATACCTTAGCTGAAAGAAGAAAGGGTGCGGTGCAAAGACAACAGCTATAAAGGCCTGAAGATAGCGAGGTACATGCAGCATTTGAGAAACTGAGGAAAGTCTCCTGGTCAAAAAAGGGGAGATTGTGCAGGATGAGACTAGGGAAGTAGGGAGGTATTTAATACCAAGTTGAGTTTGAAGTTCATCTTAAGAACAATGGGAGGGGCGCCTGGGTGGCTCAGTGTGTTAATCGTCTGACTTTTGATTTCGACTGAGGCCATGATCTCAGGGTCGTTAAGACTGAGCCCTGCGTGGGACTCCACGTTGGGCACGAAGCCTGCTTAAGACCCTCTCTCCCTGTCCCTCTTCCCCCCCCCCACACATGTGTGCTCCCTCTCTCTAAAATAAAAAAAGACCTTTAAAAAAAAGAAGGAAAAGAGCAATGGGAAACTATGAAAGGGATTAAAGCAAAAGGGTAACAATGATTTTTTTTTTTTTTTTAAGATTTACTTACTGATTTGAGGGGGCGAGAGAGAGAGAGGGCGCACGCGCTCAGGAGTGGAAGGGGCAGAGAGAAAATCTCAAGCTGACTCCTTGCTGTGCGTGGAGCCGGATAGGGCTCAGGACTGGATCCCAGGACCCTGAGATCTTGACCTGAGCAGAAAGCAAAGAGTCCACGCTTAACAACGGCAACACCGAGGCGCCCCTGATTTACACTTTCAAAAGTTCACTTCGCTAAGGCATGGAAATGGATGAGGGAGTGGCGTAAAAAGTAGATGCCCAGACCAGCTGCCAGTAATCCAGGTGAGATGGGATGAAACCTGAGACAGAGGTAGCAGTGGAGATAAAGTGGAAAGATAGTTAAGGGGCAAGATGGATTGACCATAATGATGGGCATAGAAGTAGCGACCTTGGTGAACAGTGTGATGTGATAATGCCATTTGTCCCCACTAAGTGCAACTGGTGGGGGTAGCTGTTTGAAGAAGACTGAGATAATGAATTAAGAAACAAGCGTTTTCGTCTTAAAAAGACACCATCATTTGGCCTCAAAGTATAATTATTTCAATTGAAGGCTTAACTAGCATTGGGCAGGAGGATCATGAGGCACCAACTCTCCACCCAATAGGGCCCTAAATGTCTTTTTTTAGATTTCTAGGAGAATGACCCACTACTACTGCGCTAAGACTTTTTACCTCACATCTACCTGGAAAGCCCTTAACTCATTCCCGCCCCAAGTTTGATAGGTTTTTGTTTTTAGAAGTACAGTTCAAAGGTCACCTCAAATCTTTTCAGTGTTTCCCACACCCCCATCCTGCCGTGCAACTCTTCCACTACACTGTGGGTTCCAGACAGCACGGATTAAGCACTCTTCATCACTGTGTCCCCGTGTGTGCAGCGCTGCACCCTTCAAACGCTAGGCGCTCCACAAATTCTCAGCCGCATTTACCCGCGCAGGGAAATACTCTAGCGTACACCTCCAACACCAGCTTTGCCTGCCGGAAGTGACGCGTTCTCGGGGACAACGTGCTTCCGGTCCCGAGTGCCGACTCGGTCGCCGGGGGACGGGCTTCTCTGGCTCGCTAACTCAACTGCCCTGGAGGATTCTTGCGCGGTAAGCAGTTACGCACGGCTAAGCGAGATAGGACCCTGGGACACCCAGATGCCGTAAAGTCCTCCGGTTTGTTCCCAGGGACCTGGCGGGAAGGCACAGCGACTGACTGGTAGGCCCCCAACAGCTCTCAGCGCCAGATGGGGCTGGAGTGCCGGGATGCGAGGCCCGCCGAGGGCGCCGTCGCGGGGACCGGTCTCAGCTGTCCGGTGCTCGCCGCCTGGCCTGGCGCATCCAGCCCCTCTGGGACCCGCCGTGGGAGTGGGCTCCGTCGACTAGATCTTGATACTCAGAGCTTCCCCCCTTCCCTGGTACTCAGCGGAAGGACAGTCCACCTCTTGAACAGCTCCAGGCCCTACCGTGACAGTCGCAGGATCTGCAGTGATGAGTGTGCGCGCGTGGTGTAGAAGTGCTGAGTCGCGTCTCACCTATTCATTGGCTCCGCCCTTCAGCGTGTGTTGCGGGATGTTTCTAACGATGAGAGCTGAGGTTTTAACCCTGGTTGGTACACGGGATGCCGCCCTAAGGGGGGTGCGGCTTCATAATTGAAAATGATTTGAAACCACTGGGCTGGTAGTAGTTTATACCCTGATTAATAGAAGACCCAGCATTATCACGTGACCGTAAACACGTGTATATTTTACTTATCAATCTGCCGGGAAGAGTTGTAATGACAAACTTTGCGTCAAAGGACAGGATTTCTGAATAGTTAATTTGCTATGCAAATTGTTTTCACTGAACTAAGCAAGAAGATGGGAAGAAAGTAGCCTTGGGATTTACAGATAGGAAACAGCCAGGAAAACTGCAGAATATGGGAAGAGTAACTTCATTCACTGTATTACTTTGTGATTCAAATTTTACAAAGTAATTTGGTTACTTCATGAATTGTTTTACACTTTTAAGCATTTATATACGTGTTGTTATTGTTTGTTTAACTGGTGTGGTAGCTTTTCTGGTAAGGGCTAGATTTATAGGCATATCTATGCAGCATATTACAGAATTAAATATACAAATACCTAAATGAAGTAAAAAGAGTTTTAATAATTAAGACTTTAATATATGGGCATAATGTGATACAGTGTGTATCTTTAGTGTTTGTTTTTTTTAATGGCCACTAACCAGCCATGCTTGTCTTAAAGCTTTATAAGTTACCGCTGATGAAATCATGACCAGGTGGGCACGAGTTACTACCGCACATAACAAGAGACCTTTGGCTGCAACATCATGGGAGGACATGAAGAAGGGGTCCTTTGAGGGAGAAGGCCAAAATCTACCAAACAGTAAACAACTTGAAGCCAAAAGGCTCTCTGTTAAGAATGATGCTCCTCAAGCAAAACACAAAAAGAACAAAAAGAAAAAGGAGTACTTAAATGAAGATGTAAATGGATTCATGGAATACCTAAGACAAAACTCACAGATGGTTCATAATGGAGAGATGATAGCAACAGACAGTCAGGAGGCAAGGGAAGAAATTGCAGTTGCTTTAAAGAAAGATAGTCGACGGGAAGGGAGAAGACTAAAAAGACAAGCAGCAAAGAAAAATGCAATGGTAAGATCATTACTTCTACCGAAACGTTACTTTATATAGGTCATTAACTATTATTCATATACTCACACATGTATATTCTAGCAGAGTCTGAATGCTCTTGCATACTAGATTTATAAAGCATCTTTTTGAGGGCTAGTAATAACATTAGGACTTTTTTAGCACTTCCTATATGCTAGGCACTTGATGTACTAATTATCACAATAACACTATAAAGATGGTAGCATTATTCTCATATGGGGAGAAAAGACTGATGTGTAGACAGGGTATCTTGCTGACAGCCACTTAGTGAGTATAGTAGCAGAGAGGAAATTCAAACCCAGAGTTTGTCTGACTTCAAAACCTACGTTCTTAGTCCTGCCTTCCAGTAGCTTTTCAAAAAGCCATTTAAAAAAAAAAAAATCTAAGGAGGAGGGTTAAGTGCAACAGGTTAAATATGTGTGGTTCCCTTTACTTGGAGAGGATATTTTGTTTTTATTCATGAAAAACTGAGGCACAGGAATGAGATCTAGTAAGAATCACACTAGTTAGTAACGGAGCAGAGTAGTAAGAGTTAAAACCCCTTGAGTTTGTCCCTAGTCATTGTTCCTTCCCTCCTCCATACTACTCTCAGAGGAATGTTAGGGCTACAAGTTGATTTCTGTAGTGCCTAGCACTAGATTTTTAAACTGTCAGACATGGGAAATGTAATACTTCATATAATTCTTTCCTTTCTCTAAGTGAATTTTCCAAGTCTTCTAGTAAGATACATAAAAATCAGTATTATTTTACACCTTCATTTTTATTTGCAGGATTAGTTTTATACATATTTGCAGATAATTATTTAGAGATAATGCTGATCAAACATTCATTATGGATAAATTTGGACAGAAAAGGTAATCATTTTTATTTGGATCAGGATAGTTTTGTTTAAATTGTACAATTATTTAAAAGTATTTTTTTTTATCTGGGCGCCTGGGTTGCTCAGTCAGTTAAGCATCCGACTCTTGTTAGGCTCAGGTCATGATCTCAGGGTTGTGAGATTGAGCCCTGCATCAGGCTCTATGCTTACTGAGGAGTCCGCTTGTCCCTCTCCTTCTGCTTCTCCTCCCGCTCATGTGTGCTCACACTCTCTTTTTCTCTCAAATAAATAAAATCTTAAAAAAAACTTTTTTATCATGTTAATTTAACTTAAAGGTAATGTAACTTAAAGATAATTTCATTGACATAGGCAATATGATGAATTGCATATTATTTGAAAAAATTTAATATTGTGACCTTTTAAGAGAAGCTTTATATTTGTAATTAAAGGAGAAAGACATTGGTTTTCAAGAGAAAAAAAGAATGCTTTATATTAAAGCATATACTTTAAATAGTATATAGCTTGTTTTCTTATTTTTAATACCTCATTCTAAGTATCAGTTTTTTTCTTTTAAGATTTTATTTATTTATTTGACAGAAACACAGCAAAAGAGGGAACACAAGCAGGGGGAGTGGGAGAGGGAGAAGCAGGCTTCCCACAGAGCGGGGAGCCCGATGCAGGGCTCAATCCTAGGACCCTGGGATCCTGACCTGAGCCGAAGGCAGATGCTTAACGACTGAGCCACCCAGGCACCCCTAAGTTTCAGTTCTTAATTGCTAACAAATGAAGATAATTTATGAAGTCCCATCTACATGAAGATCAGGTTTTAAAGGTTAAAAACCTGGGGTGCCTGGGTGGCTCAGTCAGTTAAGTGACCAGCTCTGGTGATGATCACAGGGTCCTGGGATGCAGCCCACCTCTAGCCCCGCCTCCAGCCCCCTCCCACGGACCACCCCCACCCCAGCCCAGTGTAGGGCTTGGCGCTCAGCAGGGAGTCTGCTTGTCCCTCTTCCTCTCCTCTGCCCCCCACCTTGTGCACACCCTCTATCAAATAAATAAATAAAATCTTAAAAAAAAAAAACACATGTAAAAACCTAATCAGTGAACTGTCAGGTTACTAGAGACCATGCTGACTTCAAGACTTCAAGTCTTATTATGGTGATCCAGTTTTTAGCCGTAGCTTTTCTTGAACTTGTATAACAACTGCATTTTCTTTGTTGGGACCTGATGTACAAGTTAGTGAAGATTAAAGGGACTCATTCTTTTCCAGTATGTTATGAAACAGGAGAAAAAGAAAGGACACAGTTGCAAAATATTGTATGTTTTGTCTGTTTAATTTGCTTTTTAAAAATCCCATGCTTACTTTGAAAAAAAAATTATTTTCAAAAAAATTTTTGAAAAAAATAAACTATTTGTTATCCAAGAAATGTATATACCTTTTTCAGTTTAAATAAAATAGCTTAAATATCTTTGAGTATCTACCATGTTTGATTATGACTACTGTTCTCATTCATTGCAGCAATAGCTATTCTCCAAATTGCCAGGTAGTATATAAAGCAACCAAATCATTGTTTAGTGTGATGTTGGAGCCAAATAATTCATCTTAGAATTATTCCTTTAAAATGTGTACATATTCTAAAAATGAAACACCTAATTCTGAATATTAAGGAATATGTATTAAAGATATAAAAACTGTAAGATATATTACTGGTATGAAATATGATTTGAATCATAATTTAAGTGGATCATTTGACTCAAATTTATTCAATTATATGAACTTTGTAAGTACTAGTATTAATTATGACCGATAATTTTTGGTCATTTTCTATTTTCCACAGAAAACTCAGTTTTTCTTTTTAAAGATTTTATTTATTTATTTGACAGAGAGCGACACAGCGAGAGAGGGAACACAAGCAGGGGGAGAGGGAGAGGGAGAAGCAGGCTTCCCGCTGAGCAGGGAGCCCGATGCGGGGCTCGATCCCAGGACCCTGGGATCATGACCTGAGCTGAAGGCAGACGCCCAACGACTGAGCCACCCAGGTGCCCCAGAAAACTCAGTTTTTCTAGTGGAGACATTCCCATTAATGAAATAAATAGTCCATATTTGCTTAATTCATTTAAGCAGTTTCTACGAAACCATTTTTAACTTTGTGTCTGAGATTGATGGATTTATGGATTGAGGGTTTTCAAAAGCACTGAGACTGTCTGATGGAAATGACATTTTTTATTGTTTAGGAATGTATGAAACAACTTTTTGTTGTTTCATACATTCCTAAAATAAAAATAAAATATTGAGATTTTTTTAAAAAAGAGCTAGATAACAAATGAGAGACGTTTTAGAGATATTTTTGATAACAAGAATTAATAAAGCCAATGTAGTTTTGTAATTTGGAAACTCACATTTTGTTTCCCCAGGTATGTTTCCATTGTAGAAAACCTGGCCATGGGATTGCAGATTGCCCAGCTGCCCTTGAGAATCAAGATATGGGCACTGGAATATGTTATCGGTGTGGGTCCACAGAGCATGAAATAACCAAGTGCAAAGCCAAAGTAGACCCAGCTTTTGGTATGTTTTCTTTCTATTGGTTTTAGATTTGGTTAATGTCGGAAGTGGGGTTTTTTTGGACAGCAGAGTTTGTCATGAGCATGCCACTTAATATTTTGAAAAAATAAGGGTTTTTTTTCCCCAGAGTGTTTAAAATAATATGAATTATGTAACTTTTTCTATACTTAGCCAGCTTACCAGGAACTGTTGATCCTTACAGGTGAATTTCCTTTTGCAAAATGTTTTGTTTGTGGGGAAATGGGGCACCTATCCAGATCTTGTCCTGATAATCCCAAAGGACTCTATGCTGATGGTGAGTACTGTGAGTACTGTTTCCCTTACGTGTCAAAAAAGGTGAGTTATCATGCAGAGTTGTGATTTAACTTAGACTCTTAATCAGCTCTTGAATAAATTCTTGAACAAATAAAAACATCTTAAGAATTTCAATTTTTATTAAACTCTATTCTATGTACTAGACTTTATGTGTAATATGACAATATATTAATCAAGTCAGAAAAAACTAAAGTGTATATTTCAAGCTTTGTGCTTGTTTCAGCATCATTTGTGAGAGTATGTTATAAATATCTACTTTTAAAAACAACAGAAGCAAAGGGGTTATATCTCAAGCTAAGATTTAAAAAATAGTGTTGTGAATTTAATCACAGGCTAGCATACCATTTTGGATAGACGGGCTGGTACACTCTTCCATGTGTAGTAATCTTTGTTTCTGAATTCCTTGGTTAATTGTCTAGCATGGGATCATGTAACTTTCTTGTCTTTAGCTCAACTAACATCTTAAGCTCCTTAAATAAAGTCTATGATGTCTAAAGCTTTAAGGAGGAAATTTTCTGTTACTCTGAGTAAGGTGCTTATGTGATGGCTGGTTCCATCAGGTTCCAGATACCTCTTGGGTGTCATGTCCTGGGTTCGATGGGAGAAGTCCAGTGAAAAGGCGTAGCTTTCGGAATCAAGCTGACTGGTTATAGCTCCAGTACCACCACTCACTAGTGGGATTTTGGCTGAGTTATTTAATTTCTCTCAGCTCAGTTTCCTCGCCTGTTAAATGGAGATGAAAAACTGTATTTCCTTGATTCTAAGATGTACATTTTTTCACATTTTAATGTCTCTGACTCAAAATGTATCTTACCAGTGGTGAGTGCCACATAATTGGCAGGTTTGTTTTTTTTTCTGAGAGGTATGTAAAATAATGATACATCTTATAATCAGTGGTGTCTTAGATTTGATGAATTATGGTATCCACCTTGAAGAGCTTTGAGAATTAAAATAGATTGTTCAGAGCACCTCTCCTATTTCACTCTGGCATCTCCATCAATAAAGAAGCTGGCCCTGGAAAATGCCCAAAGGTGCCTTTCAGTTTTGAACTTATGATACAGGTCAGATGACATGACTAATGGACAAAGATGGCTTTGCATGGTTATGCAAAATGACTAAATATTTTTGAAAAGTGCAGCAAAGGAAAGAAATCATGTGGAAGTGAGAATTCAGCCAGGTTTACATCCTATAGGGTCATATTTCTGGGTAAGTCACTTCACATTATGAGCATGTCATGATAATGCTTGACCATTAAGTAATAGTGTTTGACCATTAAAGGATAGACTATAATTTTAGAAACCCTGTGTGTTGTAATTCACAGTCCTGGGATGTTGCTTAAAGTAGCCAGACAGGCATTTTTATTAGGGTTAGGGTGCCTGGCAGATAGAAGGCACTACAACAAGAGTGAATTTCATTCCTTTTGTCACTGCTCACCCCCATCTGACCTGTACAGATGAGCAGTGGGGCAATGGCTCCTAATCTTTTTTGGGGTTGTTGATCATTTGATAAGAACAGTGGACGTCCTCCTCCAAAAATGCATCAACACCACTTTTGCTCACAGGTTCAGCAGTTCACAAATCTTTGCCTATCTAACCACGGTTAAGGTCTTCTGTGCAGTGGCTCTTGGACACTCCAGAGCACAAGTACCTTCCTCCGTTACAGCTCTCCTCTCTTTCCCTCTTCCCCCCTGAAGGCCAGGTACGAGACATGCTGTGTAGGGACAGTTTAGTGCTCTGTGGGATTCCCAAAGCCTGGGGAATGGACTTATTAATAGGAATGGTGTCACCTACCTATGTTCCTGTTTCCACCTCCCTGTGCACCTGACAAGGCTGTGAGGACCAAGGAAGATAAGAAAAGTGCCTTGAGACATTACAATGCCTTGTAAGCATGAGAGGTTTACAGTGACTTTGCTCTTTTAATAGGTGGTTGCTGCAGACTCTGTGGCTCCGTGGAACATTTTAAGAAAGATTGCCCTGAGAGTAAGAATTCAGGTGAGATCTCTAGGCCTCCATTTAGAAGGCCTGAGGTTATTATTCTATGTTTCTGCTGAATTTTGTTACTACTAACTCACTGAGGTACCGCTGATTTTAAGGCAGCCTGGTTTCCTACTGCAATGACAACCTAATCATTCCTCTGTCAGGAGTAGATGCAGTAGTAACTGAGCATTAATAGCTGGTACTATCAGGTGGGGAAAAGGTGACCACTAAGCCCTAGAGGGCCCTGATTTTATAAAGCATCTTATTCTTACACATTCTTATTTGCCAACTAATGAATTTAATAATAGAGCCAATTATGTTACTAACAGAAAAATTTTGATTCATTAAGAGAAAATAGTATGAAAATAACTCAACATTTTTATGATTGAGCATTCTCACATATGGTTTGCTTTATCTATACCTAAAGGATTCAGAGTTGGTTATAAGAACTTCCAAAAATACTAAAATTGTGTTAGCTACACATCATCTGGCCAGTTGTATTTTCTTCCTAATGAAATACTACCGTCGGTCATCAAAAACTTCAAAAATGTTCACTATACGTATGTGAGGGAAGTGGAGACCATTATTATATTAGTTTACCTGGATTGGAATAATGACAATCTTGAGTGAAAGAAAGACAGGAGGGTAGAAGTAGTGCTTCTTAGGGAAAAAGCACATTTCTTTTTCTCTCAAATAGTCACAGTACGACACGAAGAAGTCTGCCCATTCTTACTTCCTACCTGAACGTTTCCCTTTGAAAACCCAGAGTTCTTGTTTATGCTCTTGTCTAGAAGAAGACAGTCTTTACTACATTGTAGGCAGTGAGACTGAAATGATGGAAGTGGAATTTGAATTCTCCCTCCTGGGAGGATTGCCACTTCCCGAATGACAAGACTGAAAAGCAGATGTTGTATAATTTCACAGGTGGAATCTTGTGCATTTAAAACCGATGCCTCATAAGTCCTACTGTTTACAGATTCTTGGAATTCATTGACTCTATAATGATGAACTCTGGGAAGGAATGAAAGAGCTTTCTCATCAGTTTGTGCATTGCAAAGCAGTTGCTGCATTTCCCTAATTGGGAGAGAAATTGCCTGTGGTACTCTGAAATCAAGGGTTATAATCAATTACAGAATGCTCACTCTCCTTTAGTGATGGAGTCTTCCCTCCTTGTGATTATTCATGTCAAAACTAGTTCCTTTGCTAAGCCAGTACCAAACTATGGGGATGTATTTGATTACCATTTTTCTTACATTCTAACTTCCATCCCTTGACAGATCGAATGGTCACAGTTGGTCGCTGGGCAAAGGGAATGAGTGCAGACTATGAAGAAATTTTGGATGTGCCTAAGCCACAGGAACCCAAGACAAAGATACCTAAAGTTGTTAATTTTTGATAATGATTGGTACTATTGTTAGTTACCACCTCATTGTTAAACATTCTGAACCAGGCGTCCTTCACAAATTGGAGCTGGGCTCCCTTGGAGACCTGTTTTGTAGATACCAGTATGATCAGGGAATGGTCACATCGTTTCCTGAGCGCTGTCCATTAAAGAGTGCTTCTATCACTGAAGAAAATCACTGAAGAAAAGTAGAAGATGTTAAAATTGGATTCTCTGAAAAAACATTTTTAACAGACAGAACTTAGGTATAACTAAGTGGTTATATGCTTGATTGTAACAATCATCTTTCTTTTAAAAACCATTCATTAATGTGCACCACCCCTAAACAAAGTATAACTGCTTTGCATTTGGAATTGAATTTTTGGTTATATTGTTTCCTTGGTTCAAAATAACAATTTATTATTAGGAATTTATAAATTGCCACAAAATCTGTATTTTTAAAATATTTAATAAAAATTCATTTGCGGGGAGACGAACCATTAGAGACGAATGGACTCTGAAAAACAAACTGAGGGTTCTGGAGGGGAGGGGGGTGGGGGGATGGGTTAGCCTGGTGATGGGGGTCACATTCTGCGTGGAGCACTGGGTGTTATGCACAAACAATGAATCATGGAACACTACATCAAAAACTAATGATGTAATGTATGGTGATTAACATAATAAAAAATTATTTATAAAAAAATTGATTTGCTATTTACTTATTTTTCTGAATACCTTGTTCTGGATTGTACTAGCCATTGTCTGTTTATATCTGTATACAAACCCTTTGGAAACACCATCTTTTGTGAATTCTAGATGAGATTAATTTTGGTTAATATTTGTTTTAGTTTTGACATAAAGAAGTACAAATTATTGAGGTAAAATAGAAGAATACCTTAACAGCAGCTCTTTGCTCTTCATTTTTAAGAGAGAAATTCTAGCCAAAATTTAGTTTGGGGTATTCAACCAGAATGATGTCACTTAACAGAGTGTATATTACACTTAATAGCATTTTGTTCACATGTCTTAGACGCGTCCAGGTGAGATGCAAGTATCACCATAATAGAACACTAATCAGAGACCCATTAGCTTCTTTGATTTGATGAATACATGCATACTTAATACATATATTTCACAAGGCTTAGGGCTCCCATTGTACTGTTTAATGGAATGACTAGCGGATTGTGTGCTTCATTTGGAATTTTACCTGATTGGATACATTTGTAACTAAAGGAAACAGCTGTGATTAGTCACTGATGCTTCAAAAGCAAAATATTTACCAAATAAAAGAAACACTTTTCTCTGTTTTAATGTCTGCGTAGCTCAACAGTTCTAGTCTTAATAGGAGCTGTTCTTTTATTTTTGGTAAGAGAGGAAAACACACCAGAATACAGCTCAGCATCCCAGAACTTAAGGAAATGAGTGCCATTTAAAAGAAGTCACACAAGTCGTGCAGCTGGAAAAGGACAGCAGTGCCGCCTTAGACATTTAGTCCAAACATGCCCAGATTTATTTCATCTGTCCTATTGGGTGCCAAAGACCCTGGAGAGTCAAAAGCTTCCTCAAGTGAGGAAGGCAAACATTAAATTTATTTATGCACTATATATTTCTCCAGTCCCTGCTATGTTCCTGGTACTCTTAGGCCCTTGGGATTGTGGCCATGATAAAGACAAACAAGGCCACGTGCATTCTAATGGGGCTTTAGGATGGAGAGGAGACTTGGGGAAATTACATATCAGATATCAGTATATCAGAAAAATAATGTCAGAGATTTGATTACATTTTAAAAGTATTCTGTTGAATCCCCTAGGACTTAGTCATTAGCATTCTTCCTTCAGTCCTCTGGAAATGCCACCTCTTACAAGCTTATCTTTCACTTTTCCGTGGCTGCGTCCTAAATCCATCTGCCCTAATATCCCTGGTTTCAGTTCCTCCTTGGATGGTGTTTCACCAACACCTCATTACTGCAGTAATTTTCAAAAATATATAAATTCAAAGACCTACGATAGGCAGAAGTTAGAAATGTCTCAATTACAGGAGAGGTGTGAAATTTTACCATACAAATTTTAGTGTAATGTAACCCCTTTATCACTAATTTTTTCACTTTTTAAAATCTAAAAATATCCTCAAAAATCTACTTCTGAAATGTATAGTCATTTAAACCTGCATATCCATTCTTATTGTACATCAGTGTTAATTCATAAAATTGGAGCATAGTCCGAAGTTCATGTAAATGAGAGCCTGCTGACATGGAATAAAAATAATTAACAACCAGACCTAGGCTGGGTGAATGGATGGGCTGAGGGGTGGGGGGTAGGCAGGGGAAGCATGGGTAGAGATTTGACATACAGACGGCAGGAGGTACCTAACCTCTTAAGTGCTCTAAACTCTAATGGAGAAGTCCTTCAACTTTTAAATGTTGTCCCATAGAGGAGGCCAACTTGACATGTGCTGGTTTGTCTTATGAGTTAAGACAAATCACACAGTAGAATAATGAATGTTGAAGTCTGGGGAATAAAGTGCTAATGTAATGGTTATGAAAGAAGAGCTCGGTTAATACTCTCTCTGTGATATCACATTTTGCAGGTACTTTTTGTGTGTATATATAGCAATAGATACCTAAATTGGTCAGCCACCTTGAATATATATGAAATGACAATAGTAAAGTAGTTCCTATTACTAAAATTGATTGGATTCCATTATGTTTTAATGTCTTCCTAATTTAAAGCTCTAAAACATGTAATACATCTTGTCAGATGCTCCTGACATACAGATATCTGCCATATATGGAACAATCCCACACTATTAATCAACTGGCCAACTTACCATTTTTGATTTTATAAAATTTTAAACAGAATACATGTTTCACGTCTCTAGCCTAAAAATGCTGATGATCATTTAAAACCATATTGGTACCATTTTATAGTCCATACAAAATTGCATATGGGCCATTTCCACTGCCTGTGCCCCTGGAAGGGAGGAGAGCCACAGATGATCTAAAACAGTGTTAAAGCTCTTTTAATAATACGATCCAAATCACTGGTATTTGACCTGAGATGAATTTTATTTTTTAACCCCTTCCTAACTGTGTTTTGCTTAGGCCAATATTAAATTATTTTGTGGCCCAAAATCTTGCCAAGTGTCAGGGCTAAGGGTACTTGGAATTAAAGGTGGGAAATAAAATTACAGGTAATTGGAAGTTTACCATTTAAAATCTGTTTATCAACCCATCATCAGTAGCATTCTCTATGAATTGTATACAAGAGGCTGCTGTCTCTTCAATGGATTTTGACCAGCCACCAAGATTTCCAGCAAAGTAAGGAGAGATGCTAGCAGAAATCTGGTTGAAGTAGGATACCTGTTTCAAAAAGAAAATACATTACTTCAATTGTTTATTGACATAGAGCTTTTTTAAAAAATTTTTAAAAGATTTTATTAATGGGGGGCCTGGGTGGCTCAGTTGGTTAAGCAACTGCCTTCGGCTCAGGTCATGATCCTGGAGTCCCGGGATCGAGTCCCACATCGGGCTCCCTTTTCAGTGGGGAGTCTGCTTCTCCCTCTGACCCTCTTCCCTCTCATGTACTCTCTCTCTCTCTCTCATTCTCACTCTCTCAAATAAATAAATAAATCTTTAAAAAAAATAAAAAATAAAAGATTTTATTTATTTATTTGACAGAGAGAGAGCACGCACAAGCAGGGGGAGTGGCAGGCAGACGCAGAAGGAGAAGCAGGCTCTCTGTTGAACAAGGAGCCCGATGCAGGGCTCGATCGCAGGACCCTGGGATCATGACCTGAGCCGAAGGCAGACGCTTAACCAACTGAGCCACCCAGGCGCCTCAAGAGCTTTTTCAAGCAGGGATCTGAATCTTGTTGGCATAGGGGAGGCTATGACCCTGATCTTCTGGGGATGTTCTGGAATGGAACTAAAAGGATGACCTTAGGATTCCCCTGATGTGGACGCATTACAGAATTACAGTTAATTAGGAAATGTGGGTAAAAGATTTCTCTGTATCTGTCAGAGCAAATTAATGTGCAGATGTTTCATCAAACTTACGGTACAGGAACTGCTGTCAGTAGCATGGATGAGAAATCCAGCACAGATGATTTCACTTCTGATGTACCGTGGAGAAGGTGGGACTGATGGTAGAATAACCGATTTCATTGCCACCGTGTACGTGTCACTGAAAAATGAAAGGACATTCTCTAAGTTATTGTGAGAAATGAAGAATAGTTGTTAGAAAATAAATTCCTGCAGTTAATTCAACTTATTTATACAAGTAGAAGTGAAACTATGGCGACCCCTCTTCTAGATGAGTGTTCCGCATTTGAATACGGTCTCTATGGCCACATTCAAGTGTAGGGAAGGGTAGTAAGGGCCACAGGTGTTTCCTGCCTAAGAATTACTTACACTTTGCATAACTCCACAAAGCTGGAGTCAAGTTCTAAGCATGTTTTGTTATGCCCTAATGGGTTGTAAGGACCACTGTTAAAAGGTCCCTCCAGACCTTTTTATAAATAAATAACACTGATGTAAGCAAATGCATATACAGATTTTTGCATAAATACAATCATTTTATAAATATTGGCCTATAATTTGATTTTTTGCCTCCCAGTAAATCTTTGGAGGTATTTCTCTATCAGTGCCTCTATAGCTACTTCATCCTTTTTAATGATGGCACAGTACTCTGCAGTATGGCTCTACCATAATTTGTAAGATGGACCTTCAGTTTATTCCTCTACCTTTTGCCAAATAAATAAATAAATAAATACAGTGATACTACACTGAACGTCCATGTGCATTCATATTCACACATGTGTTTGATTTATTTCTGCAGGCCAGCTTTGACATTGGAAATGATGCTGGCCAGTTCCAGGTGTAGCCCTTAAATGTCCCAGAAGCTTCTACTCCTTCTTTCTTTGAATGCATAGGACACTTCCCCTTAGAACATAGACACCATGCCCCGAGGAGTCCAATGCCCACAGAGAAGTCAAGGATAAGCGCTCTAGTCAACAACCCTAGCTGGCAGCCAGACATTTTGGATGTCTAGCATAATTGCGCCTTTGTAAATTCTAAACTTATTCCTGATGTTTTATTTGGCAGACACTGCATTTTTACTGATGATGGAATATTCTAAAGGTTTGCTAACTATCAGTGTTACGTGTGCATAAAGCAAAAGGAAAAGGAACTGCTTCAGGAATCATGCACGGTGCTTTGCACACAGGTGGCATTTAATAGATGACTTCTTAAAATAACTAAAGGTTCATCTAGCAAAAATTCACATGAACATCATTCAAGACCAGAAATGCCAATATTGCCTTCCTTATTTTCACATCAACTTTTTCATTCTACTCTCTTCTACAAAACATTATTATAACACTTGAATTGCTTATACTCACCCATCTTTGAGAGGCCTTCTTCGTGATACAAGTACTACCAAGTCTTTGGGTTTGTCACCATTCACTACAGGACAAGTGATATAATATAT